GTCATTTTTGTATGCCTTTTTGAGAGGGACCAAGAATGCGGATGATTCAAGGCGATCTTGCATTTGCTTCGTATCGCCATAAGCGTAGATGGTAGCTTCCCTACCAAGATAACTCTTTTCCTCAAGAGCTGATCTAATCTTCTGCGAAACATCAATCGCATTGACACCTTCAGGGATCTGGCAACCATCCACGTCCCAGAAGAATGGCCGTCTTTGCCGTTTTCAAATCGCTTCGAAAAATCATCCATAGAGATCAGAGGGAGAGCCAGAGAAATTAGGGCTAGGCGGAGACCTACTTTAAGTACAAGTTTAGAAGAAACAACTTCACTTGAAAAGTAAACTGATGTTTTCAGTTCTGTTCCTTTTTTTGAAGTTAAAGCTCATCAGAAGAAAACTCAAGCCCTTACATTGTATTAAAAATGATGCTCGTGTATGTACAAATGCTATTTCTATGTATACATTTATAATTAAAAAAAAAAGGGTAAAGTTGAAATCTGAAACTTTGCTCTAAACCCTAACAAAATTGGGGATGTGTTTAGCACATTCAGGGAGTGGATTGGCCTAGAAGCAGAGTATGCCACCAACCACACGCTATGTTTTTGGGGAAGCAATCTTTGATTCTGACCTCCGAAGGAGCATTCCGGTCAATCACATCTCCTAAACCCAACTGTTTCACACACAAAACTCTGTTTCATTAGTAAAAAAAAGTACATGAAAGACAAAAATCAACAGTTTGCAGATTTCGTAAAACTCGATTTTTACCTGACCGTATTTGTTCCATCCCCAGCAAAATACTTTCCCTTCATCTGCAACAAACAAACAAAAACACAGAGCAGATTTTAGTCTTAAGATGAATTCTCTTTCGCAGCTAAAGAGAAATTCTAAAGTGGTTTTTGGTTAAATGGGTACCTGCGATTACAGCGGTGTGACGAGCGCCGCAGGAGATAATCTTTACATTTGCATTTTCCAAATTTGGAGCCTCCAATAATTTTGGAAGAGTCTGAAAAAGAACAAATGGCTTTAAGTTTAATGGAAGGGTTTCTTCACAAACAATCAAATTAGCGTTACTAAAGCCACAAGGAAACAATATAGTTCATGATTCTACCTCGGCTTGATCACAACCAGTGCCTAACTGGCCAAATTGGTTTCCACCAAACGAATACACATCACCGTCAGATGAAACACAAACTGTGTGCCATAGACCTGCAGCCACTCCTTCTATCCGGATTCCCAACAAAGACGACACACATGTAGGACTTAGTTCATCATCTGTGCTCCCCTGACCACACTTCACCAAGTAAAAACAAGATTCAGTTACTTCCACAGACCCATATAACAGAACAAAGTGCAAAAACTAGTTGCAGAAGTTAAGCAAGAGAGATTGTCGATTATCGTTTGCAGCCTTATCTTCAATGCAGACAGGCATATTTTTCCTAACTAACTGGTTTTTCAAACCCGAATCTTATACTCAATCTATGTTTTGATATATACAAAAGTTATCTTTTTGACAAGCTCCCCACTAGTTTACCACGATGATGATTAGCTTTGCTCGACAACCACATATAGCCGAAAGCAAGAATCTCAATTCATTCAGATTTTAAGAATATATGGTTTAATAAAGAAAGCCAAGGATCTGTTGTGCTCACCTGTCCATATAGCCCCCAACCAAATGTAAGGAGTGCTCCAGTATCTGCCATAAAAACTAGTTACAACTCACATGTGCAAGGTTTTATGAAGGACTCCAAGAATTCCCAAAACAAGCAAAACCATAGTACGATTAACAGGGTATAAAGATTTGGTATAAGGTCGAAACTCGTTGTTTTCATTGATGGATTTAAAATACTTATCGAATAGATGACTAGCCAGAAATGCAATATGGTGAAAACAATACCTGTGATCACCGCACTGTGTCGCCCTCCACATGCAATTCTTTTTACATAACTTCCAAGAACTCGGCCGCATTGTACTTCCGAACTCATGTTTACATCGGAAGCAGCCACGGAGCTTCCTTTTCCATAAGAAGAAGGCTCAATACATGGAATAGGATGAGGAGAAGAGACGAGGCGTACACGAGAGCCCAATCCAAGCTGTCCTTCTCCTCCATAACCCCAACCCCACACCTGTCCAATATCTGGACTTCAGAGAAGAATTAGGATACATCTTACACCACACCAGAAGCTCTTACAGCTTAATGGAGATAGTTTCACTGATTGGTAAGAAAAGTTAAAACATTTTACCTGATAATGCTAGAGTATGACGTCCACCAGCAGCAACACTGACAATCCTAACTCCTGGAGCCAACGATACAAGACAAGGCAATGCCGAGAGGTCCTTGTTCTCGGACTGTGATGCATTTTCAGCAGCTTGCTTTGACGGTGAAATCCGCCTTTTCTTTGTTGATTCCCCTCCACCTCTAGCTTCACTTTGAGAAGACCTTCCACCGCTAGATTTTTTCCCTTGAGAACTAGGACTCGCTGCAAAAGAAACACCATCCTTCACATCAACTCTCAATGTAACAAAAAAACATAAATTTTGAGGTTGTCACAATGAAAAAAAAACAGGCAAAGAAGATTTCACCTTGTTCTGTAGAAAAAGAAATGTTTCTTTCACGAGAATGTTCATCTTTCTGTCCAAACACTCTCCCTGTGGGTATACACTCCCTCCATCCCCATGTATAAACTTCATGGTTCTCTATATCCAAAGAAAACAAAAAAGGCTCTAACACAATCAAGTTGTCAACTTAGAAACAGATGTGTTCAAGCTAACTCAGAGCATGAAAATGCACCTGTTACTGCCACACAATGAGCCCATCCAGCTTCAGCTCTCTGTACACAAACATCTGGAGGAAGAGGAAAAGGCTCTGGAGTTTCCTATAAATGTAGAAATGTGACTAAAACTCATAAAGTGTAATTTCAAATAAGACTGTAACATAGAGAAATCAAATTCACACAATGCAGAAGAAAAAGATTAGATCAAACTTTACCCCATGCTTCCCAGATGTAACATAGCTTTGACCTAAATCATCTGTTGAACCCCATGTAAGTAGCTTCCCTGATTCTGACAACAAGTCAAAAAAACACAAAACCCATTTCATTACGACTTCGATTGAAACTATTCTACAATCAGATACATTGTGAAATCGGAACGAATTTGAGAATGTGAAATCGTTCTAAGTTAATCAATTTCAAGGAAATCTAAAGCCAGCGAACCTGCGGTAGCCATTGCGAAACCGCATCCGCCGCCGGAAACATCTTTCCAGGAGATATCGACTGCCGGAGGAATCTTGACCACGACCGGTGACAATAAAGGCGACCGTTGCGGCGAGGCTCCGGGTAAGTAACCCCACATGTACACAACTCTCTCGCTTAGTTCCTCCTCCTCCTCTTGAGCGGCGGAGATAGCTCCAGTCTCCGATTTTGCCTCGCAATTCATTTTGAAAGTTGAGGAAGAAAGCAGAAGAAGCAAACAATTGGAAAAAATGGAGTTCTCGGAGAGAAGTTGACGTGTAAGGGATGTGTATGTATAGACGGAGAGGTTTTATGGGTTTTTTAGTGTTTTCTATTAAACCTCTGTAATTTGAGAATCTTTCAGTTTTTACCCCAGTATTTAGTTTCTATTTGAAAGACCCTAGTCCATGGTAAAGTAAAAGAGTTTTGCTGAATTTTTTTTGAAAAGACCTGATTATAGTTTCCGAAATATTATGAGTGGCGGAAGAATACTTTTCACATAGACATACATGATATTAATAAAAAAAAAAAAAGTGATTATGTTTCAAATGTTAGGTTGCAAATAATTGGTGGTATAGTTATGATTTAGAGGATAAATGGTTTGAAGCTAGTGAATCTATCATACATTATGTATTTAACCAAAAGCTAGTTTCAGTTCTAAATATATGTTTTT